AGGCAACTCCATTATTTCTGTATTTCTATAGCCACCACCTGCTGAATCAGCTAGATTTAATAGACTTTTTTTCAGTATAACGTTTTAGTTTTGGATTAGTGCCTTAAATTAATATTTAGTAAATAAACTGTTAGTTAAAATCTTGCCAGTGTTTCCGGTTGAAACCTAAAGCGGTTATAAAGTACTAAAATATAGGTAAAGGTCCTAAAAGGTATTTATTTTCACTCAATTTATTGTATTCATTATTGTATATATGCTGTTACACTTCTTTCAAAACCTTGATAATATAATTGGCTGAATCGTAGAAAAGCAGAATTAAGATTGTGTGTAGAGTGGAATCGATTTTTTGCATGTATAGCATTCATCAAAGTTGTAGATTTGACTTTTTATATGCCGCTACTGTTGTTCCCAGATTTTCTCCACTGAGCTTGTTGCAATGCAATATAGGACAAGCTTCACAATGGGGAAACATTGTAAATGCTACATTTACATGGTTCAAGTGGTCCAATTTTAGTATCTCACTTCAGTTTTTTTTTTCTCTTTTCCTCCCCTCCCATGTGGCACAGATCAGATATGACCCACTAATGTGTAATCAAGAACAAAGGCACACAGATTTAGTTATTCTCAGTTGGTTTCAGGCCTAATTTTTTACTGTGGAAATTAATTCGATATGAATCGTATACTTTTATTTGTGTCTGCCATGCATGTGAGTGGGTACGGTGAATGACGTCCTCTGTCATTGGTGGTGAATGATGTCAACTCGGCTGGATGCCAGCCATGTTCATATGATGCTTTTCAAAGGCACAGTGGAGGACGAAGGTTAAAGCCACCAGAGTCATGTTGAAGCATTGTTTTTTCTGACCTTTAAAGATCAAGTTGTGGCTTGTATTCTCATTTTGTCTGCACCAATTGCAAATCATACAATTTTTAACCTATTTTTCAGCCTAAGATTTTATGGGTCAATATGTTATGCTAGTTTGCTAGTGTATAATGAATAGGAATTGCTTTTAATAGGAAACTGAATAATTACTTTATTTAAAAAAAAAAAAAAAAAAAAAAGAGTAATATATTGTTCATCAAGACCTGCAGTATACATGAGACTATTTTATTCCTTAGGAAGGCAGCTCACTAAATCTTCACACCTAACAGAGTACAATAACTTTAATCTTACGCACAGCCGCTTTTAGTCACACCAAACAGACAGGCGGCCCTATTTTGATCTAATGCTCTCTTTTCTCCAAATCCAGTGGAAATGGAGTGCACACTTCACACAAACACCAACACACACAGGCTCCTCCGTTGTCTCAGTGCGCCTGGGGGTTTGTGCTCATGTCCAGGATTAGTGGAGACACTAAAGAGGCTTAGTGCTCTGCCAATGGGAGCCACAGCAGACATCAAACCATTTCCTTCCTGCTACATTCGGTTCACAGGATCTCCCCAGCAGGTCAGGGCTGGGTCATATTGTGGTACACAGAGGTCAGATGATGCCCAGTGAGAGATTAGGATCACAGATCAGCCCTGTGTCCATAATGTCCTCTAGCTCTTTCACATATGCATTTTTTTTAATCCTATTCCTGCATCTCGGACAAGAATTTTCTTCCAAGTTTGAATCTGGATAAGTCTTTTTTGTTCTTGCTGTTAATAAAGGCTGATAGAAGCAACAACACTTTCTTATACCAAATAGCAATTGATTTTGCTTCCCAAATGACATCTGATCGATGGGTGATTTGCTTTTGTGCACTCATAGATTTTTTTTCAGTGTCGATCATGTGTAGAGCATCCACCAATTCCTAAATAGTCTCTCTGCTGTAGTATGTAGTAATGTAGTAACAGTTACATGTTGAGAAAGGTAAACAGATGAGATGAAATTGCTTTGTTAAATAATGGGGTCGGTGCAGTGTTAATGCAAGCTACATCTGCCACTGTCAATAATATCAACAATGTTGGAAAGGAAGTAAAACCAGCAATGCTTACATTTTTACAATAACAACATCATTTTTACATAGCGATTTTGCTACCCTTACAATTTTGGGGATCAACTTTTTATTTTTTTGTCCCTTTCTTTACCAAGGCTGCATTTAATCATTCATTCATTTCCCTTCGGATTAGTCTCTTTATTTATCAGTGGTCACCACAGTGGAATGAACCACAAACTTATCCAGCATGTTTTTATGCAGTGAATGCCCTTCCAGCTGCAACACTGCAGTGGGAAACAGCTATTCACTAGCATTCACACACATACACGGGCCAATTTAGTTTATCCAATTTACTGCATGTCTTTGGACTGTGGTGGAAACCCATGCAAACATGGGGAGAACATGCAAACCCCACACAGAAAAGTCAGGGCTCGAACAAGCAACCTTCTTGCTGTGAGGCCACAGTGCTAACCACTGAGCCACAGTGCTGCCCCTGGGTGCATTTTTTAAGCAATAATACTGTGACAAAATAGTGTGAAACGTTTTTGGTACCATGACATGTTTTTCAGAATTAAGCCACATCTTGATTAGAAGATGCACCAGATCAAAGAGTCGTCACATGGGTGTTTTGTAGATTCTTTCAGAAACCGTGTAAAATAGGCTGCTGGAAAAAAATGTCTCATGGTAATGAAACAACAATATTTTGAAATTAAATGAACACTAGCATTTTCAGCAGCCATTGCTCAGAGTATCTGTTCCCTTTTCTTTTAATGGCCCACCGCTGCGGCCCGTAATCCAGTGGAATTACCCAGATGCCCCTTTGTTGCCAGAGCATTCTTCACACCTTGTGATGATATTGAGCCTCATTCCTGTGGCTTTCAGACCTGAGCAGTGGCGGCACAGAGCAGAGAGTGAAGCAGGTTGAGAAAAAGAGGCCTTTTGATTGTGGATTGGTGTGACATTTGTCATGGGTTTGTTATCAGTGAATCAGCTCTTCAGGTGAGATGGCAGTCGGCTGTACAAAGGGTACCGTTGGCCAGAATTCACGCATTCCTTTTTTTTTGGGACAGGATGAAGCGAATGCTTCATATTTCTTGTAAACTGTGTAAAAAAAATGTGTGGCCATATTTCAGTACAGCACATACAAAGTATGTAACAACTGCAAGAAGAATTTTCTGTAAGAGCACTAGTTTTCAAAATGTGTGAAATTATTTTAGTTCAAAGTGGAATTAAAAGAAAATGTGCAGCATTGAACTTCATACAATGTGCATGTACCTTAGCGACTAACCTGCAGATGCTGTATTCGGTGGAAGCTTTTTCATCTGAATCTACCACAATGACCTCCAACAATGACCTCCAGAAGATCAGAGCTGGCATGAATTAAACATGGCCGATGAATGAGAGCTCCTCTGTAGGGAGATCAGGCCTCTGGGCAGCGCATTAGAAAGCCATTTCAGCTCTGCGAGGCGAGCACACGTTCTGTCACACATCTGCCATGCTCACCTTTTCCTTTATTACTTTTTCATAGCTGAGACCGAGTGTGAGAGGGACGCGTCCTTTCAGCATGCAGGACATGTCCTTGGACAGCTTTTGGTGAAATGACATGAGTGTTTTTATATGGCAGCTGCTGGACAGACCTGTCAAAAGCACACGTACACTAAAAGCTTCACTGGGTGCCCTGACTGATATGTTGAAGGCTTTTCCGCTAAAAGCCTTTGGGATTATTGTTTCTAGAGCACAAAGGCTGGATGTTGTTTTTACTGTAGGCTTGCATTGAAAACTGTACCATGACTAGAATGCAAATTCAGAGAAATGCAGTACTCTCTATAGCTAAGTTTGAGATTGATAGAAGTTTCAGTAAGACTTTTTTTTTTTAATGCAGTTCAAATGTTTTAGCTTGATATTAGTTTCATATTAGTTTTCAATGCAGTTATTTTAGAAAAGCAACAAGTATTTTTACAATTGCAGGATCAGTTAACCTTACTGAATGAGTATTTTGTATCATCTCTTTTGTGTGTTCACATGGCAAATGCAGAAATTGTTATTATGTATGAAATTAATGAAAATTCTATATATTTCTGACTGTATTTATTATTATTCTTACTATGGTATTGCGTTTTTATATTGGCTGTTTTTCAACTATCAGCCGAGGCATTAATTTTGAGATTACCAGATTGTTGTATTTGTGTCAGTTAGTATTTTGGAATCATCCATCTCTTCTAATAACATCTGTAGCAGTGTAGCTTCTAGAATCCATTTCAGATGCGAAACCATCTGTTTTATAAAATATTTCCGCCACAAATCTGTAGAATGCAGGGATTCCTCTGGATCTTGTTTTTCTTATGGATGCTTTGAACCCACATACTGTGTTTCCCAGTCAGCGACTCCTGCACACACACACACAGAGAGAGAGAGAGAGAGAGAGAGAGAGAGAGAGATGCTGATACCCATGTGCCCAGCGGCAGTCACGAGTGAAGCTTTCACTGTCTAATCCTCTGCCAGAGCGCCGTGGTTGCAGCACAGCAGCTGAAATCTCTTCCACAAGCCTACGCACGCAGTGTTTGACGTCTGCTCTTTGATTGTATGTGGCTTCAGCTGCATCTTTTTAGCCGTTCATGACCTCTGACTGACTCTCTGCCCTCGAGAGTCTGACCAAGCAGTAATTAAGATCAGCAGAATAATGTGAATCTCTCATTTGCATCCCTCCGCTTGAGTCTATGAGGGTTAAGCTCTGCTGGGTATTAGCCAATGGGAACCTCTGGGCACTTGAACTGGGAGATAATACCCAGCAGCCATAACACTGCTCAATCCAAGCTGAGCTCAGCTGGCCATTATGCCAAGAAATGAAGTGTTTGGGTGCCTGAGAGAGTCGTGTTTATGCCACGGTTGTTTATTTGTGTTTTTGTGTGTTTGTGTATAGCAAAGATGCGCATACATGAATATCTGGTGAATCATAAGTGGGTTTATGTAACCGTTCCTTCGCAGTCGTGATGACTTTTGGGGGTTGGTGTTAATTCGCATGAGTGTGTGTCATTTGTGCATCTTCCAGCTATAGTAAACCTTCATGTTTGCATTTCTCCTCAGGGTTTTTTCCGGAGAAGCATTCAGAAGAACATGGTGTACACCTGCCACAGAGAGAAGAGCTGTATCATCAACAAGGTCACCCGAAACCGCTGCCAGTACTGCCGACTGCAGAAGTGCCTGGAAGTGGGCATGTCTAAAGAATGTAAGTGTCTTGGGTACTACACTGCATGCGTGCTACATGACCAAAAATATGTTCATGAAATGACTTGAAGTCATAGTAAGGTTTTGGGAGACTATTATCTTGCTATAGTACCATACCCAGAGGAAACCCATGCGAACGTTGGGAGAACATGCAAACTCCACACAGAAACGCCAGCTGGAAGTCTGGTACATGTTTGGCAGTTGGCCAAAATACATTGCATGAGTCAAAATTATTATATATATATATATATATATATATATATATATATATATAAAAATAATATATATATTATTATATAATATATATTATATAATAATATAATTTTATTATAATATATATATATATATATATATATATATATATATATATATATATATATATATATATATAATTTTATTATATATATATATATATAAAAATAATATATATATTATTTTTTTTTTTAAATAATTAAAATATTATGTAAATATTATGCCCCATGCAGATATTTTGTAAGTTTCTTGTTAGAAATGTATAAGGTGATGTTTTGTTTTTTCAATTCCAGATTTTCAGGTGGACGTACAGTATCCCAACTAAATATTGTCCCATCCTAACATGCACCAATTACATAAAATTATAAGTGTACAAAATTTCAGCATATCTTAGCAATATGTTGCTATAACATAGCAATTTTTTATTTTTTTTTACTGTTATTGATGAAATAAATTCATTCCCGTTGAGCCAAATAGTACAGTTTTACTGCTTTATACTATAGCCCAATCCCAATTCTACCCCTTAGCCTTCCCCCTAACCCTCGTTCGTGTGAAGGGGTTGGGGTGTTCCAATTCTCTTAAGCTTGGAGGTGTAGGGCTAAGTGTAATGGGTGGATACCCTTTCGAACTGAGATTTTTCAGGACCACACTGAAAACAAAGGGGTAGAAAATTACCCAGAATACACCAGCCACAACAACAGCATAGCTTGACCTGGAAGGAGATCAAGTTAAATTAGTAGGAGATCAAACAAACATTTTTTGTTAGTATTACAAATTTTTACAACAAAACAAGCACATGTTTTAATACATTCATAACTGTGTTTGTGTTTTACTGTCATGCGTTTAAAAAACGCTAAAATAAAAACTGCTAAGTTTTGATATCTTTAATCCATAATAATAACTCTTGTATATCAGTCCCACACCATTCTGACACTTAATGACACTGGAATCCCCTATCAGAAAAGTCTAGTGACTGGGAATCAGCTTTTTACAGTGTCTGGTATAATGTTAATGTTGTGTTTTGTGTGTTTACATAGATTAATATGGCCACTGTGCACAGTACAGTTATGATCTTATTGCCACATTAGATTGTTATGATAACATGATATCATTGCCTTTAGTGATATCCTGAAGATAAATACCAAAAAATAACATAAATAGAATTGGGATTGAGCCTACATGTCTAAGTTAAGTGAACTTTTAAACCATGGCCTTAAACTACAGTGTGGGTTAAAGGCCTCTATCAGACGTTGATTATCTCTGATCCTGCTGTCTCCACCTGCTGGACATAGCTGAAGTGACCAGTGAAAAAGACTTGATGCACATTTGGCCATGAAACCCCCTTGTTTCAGCAGGTTTTTTTTTACACCTCTACTTTGGAAAAAGTCAGGAAAGTGAGCGTTCAGCACTGTTTGCATAAAAATTTGCATAAAAATGGGAGTGTTGGTTTGGGCACGCGCTGATTTATACAGAGGCAAAACACACTCACTGTCTTTTTCCCCTGTGTGTTTGTGTTTACATGGACATAAGTAATCAAATTAATTGACAAATTAGTAAATTGTGGACTTTAACTGCAGTTTGGCTCTTTCATTCAGGAATTTCAATCATGCCCCTCGTGACAAACGAGAAATTTGATTTGAGGAACTGCTCTAGCGAGTATTTTTCATGCAACGTTTGTTAACGCACCGTGAATGAGAGAAAAAAAACCTCTGCATTTCCCGGAAACTTAGATGCACTCGGCAGGTAGCATCAGAAATTCGTGTGTGTTATTCCTATCACAAAATGCAGTGAAAATCGTACATGACAGTAAGTTTGATTGTGGTGTTAACATGTTTACACTCTGTGTAATAGTTAGTTCGATATGAACTAACTTCGTCATCTGGATAAACAAAGACCACTGGTCGCTCACCTACCAAATTTATAGAGACAGGACAATCAACAAATCCTTAGACACGTATTGGTGTTTTGAGCTTCGCATGCACTTTAATCCATACGTGCATCCAGCTGCTCTCTCAAAGAGAGAAAATGAAAACAAAACCTTCACTGCAGCAAATTATAAAAGCAACACTGCACGCTTGTTTTGGCAACACAATGTGGCGTCTCTCTGCCGTCTGAACACTGTGACTGGTAAAAACAGTCTTCGAAGCTATCATGGATATTAATGAAGTTGCATCATAGAGCGCGCTGATTGGTTCGAACCAAGTCTTACTCATGCATTAATGCCCCACACTCAAAGACGTAATAAGGCACTCCCAGGTACAGACGTCCAGTCTACACGCTGGCATACACGATAAGATCTCAAGGCCGTGACGCAGCTTCAAAAACTCGTTTCAAACCGGAAGTACGAATTTGCTCGAAATAACGCAAAAACTACCAATTTTCACTTTTTAAATGAATTTTTTTATCTTTTTAGATCTTTATTATTTGAATGAGTATGGGTTTGGATGTATTTTTGTTTCATTATAACCAAGGATTTACATACGTCTTTGTGTCGCACTGAACGCACCAGTCTGCCGGTTCTGTCAGAGCAGGATGAAATCTCTGCCCCAGATTTGTTATTTTACATATTTCATTTTCTCCGCCCGGAAATGATGGCGCGCTCTTGTCATCATAAAGTTGTTTGCAAGCAGGTTTCGTCTTCTTGCACATGTCGTGTCGTGAAAGATTACCTCCCTGCGTTAATAGTTCTTTAATGGCTCCATTAGATTGTGTTTTCTGAGCCCATGCTGGCACCCAGCTCCCTCTGGAGAAATGAATATGTGGCTGTGGGGAAAAGTGAGGGAGAATCATCCTTTACCACCCCTCTCTCTCTGTTTCGTTTTGTTCTCCCGGTGTGCATATGGAGGAGGGAGAAGAAGAGCCATCGAGTTATCTTTAGACAAAGGAAGGAGTCCTAACCAAAAACAGCAAGAAAACATGAGATAAAGGAGCGATAGAAGCTGTGAGAACAAGAAGCGAGAGTGATAGCGAGGTTCTGGGAAAACAGAAAGACTGAGAGAGGGAAGAGAGGAAGGAGGGAGGAATGCAGGCGCGGAGGGAGAGCCCGATTAAAGCTCTTTAAAGCAGCCTGATATTTGTCATGTGACGTGATTAGATTAGGTTGGATTTTAGTGAAAGCAGAGGTCGTTTGTCACTGTTATTAACAACCACCAACATTCATTTCTCATCTCTACACGCTGCACACCATCAGCATATCTGTGTGTGTGTGTGTGTGTGTGTGTGTGTGTGTGTGTGTGTGTGTGTGTGTGTGTGTGTGTGTGTGTGTGTGTGTGTGTGTGTGTGTGTGTGTGTGTGTGTGTGTGTGTGTGTGTGTGTGTGTGTGTGTGTGTGTGTGTGTGTGATGAAACACGAATGCGTTTGCTTGCAGATTTACATTCTTTTTAAACCTGCAGTTCTTAATTGGCAATGTTATTTATTATTTTTGCTAGTTTAATATGCACTGCAGAACAACTGTAAGTAAACACCTCACACAGGTTTATTTCCCTGAGAAGTGTAAATACTGCAGTGTTTGTTCAGCCAGTGGTGTGGGATTGAGATGGGATTGATTTTGCCCAACCATTGTACAAGTGGGACTTTGTTCTGAACTTGTTTGCTAGAGGCACGGAAAAATCATTTGCAAGATCATATATTGTCAATGCATCAGTAAAAGGGATTACATGTGAAGCAAGAGTAATATAAAAAGGGGGAATGGTGTTGAACAAGCCAGTACCTCTTAAAAAAGGTGCATACATTAATATTAAGTCTTTATTTTAATCTATATTGACAGTTTTATTCATAAAGAATGCATTAAATTGCAGTAAATATGATTATAATGAAAGCATTGTCCAATATTTGGCTAAATAAAATTTTCCAAATTGTTTGCTAGTGTCACAGAAATCCTACATGAAATCATATGCTCTTTTAGGGCTGGGTGATTTGGTCTAAAATCAAACTCTTGATTAATTGAACATTCAATTACAATTACTAAACATTTATTTTATTTATTTATTTTATTTTTTTGTCCTCATAGTTCACGGGCAAGGTTTATATAAGGTCTAAAGGCACAGCTTCCAACCATCATCAATGTAGTGCAAAGAAAAGCTTAAGAATTAGTCTATCGTCCTTCTTGACCAGAGATCAGATGTGGCTGCAAAGGTAGAAATCAGCCCCAGCCTTTAACAGAGCTTGGTCACGTGACGCGTAGGGAAAGTATTTGAAAAAATCATCCTGAAATTGATTACAGGTTCTGAATGTCAATTTCGATTACTTTTCGATTAATCGGCAAGCCTATGCCCTTTTATAGTATCCAAGTTCACATCTTTTACTGTTTTTAGAAATCATCTTGCACATATAATGAATGCAATTTCCGTCTTCTGCATTATTTTCCTATTTATTCTGCACTTTAAAACAGAAAACATTGTCACAATAAGAGATGAGAAGACCTCAGAGAATCACATCTAAGGAATTCTTCCTTTTTACTGCTTGTTTAGCAGTTGATGTTCTCTTACCGTGAGCTTTTTTTGAACTGTCACATCAAAGCATCCAGCTGTCTTTATCTCAGTGGAAATGTATTTTTACATCCCTGTTTGTTTCCTTATGCGTGTATGTGCGCACATGTATATACGTGTCCTCTTGGTCTCCCACTTAATCCGTCTCCTCCTCTTTCATTCATTGTTGTTTCCAAGTAAATTAGCTGCCAAAATGATTGAATCACAACAAGAGTGTGGATCTGAAAAAGGTTCAAGTGGATGATAGGCTGCTGCTGCTGCTACTTTCACCAGGCAGAGAAAAAGAACGCTGGACTTTTACTGCCATCTTGTGGTGTATATTGTGTAGTGATGTATGTGTGTGCGTATATAGTATGTGTAGCCATTTGTGGTACTATGAGATTTAAATCTAGGTGTTTGTTTGATCTGATCACTAAAAATTAAGATGGATTGACAGCTGTGTTTATTTTTTCTTGTTGCAGCTGTTAGGAACGACCGGAACAAAAGGAAGAAAGACGACAAGAAGCAAGAATGTTTGGAAAATTACGTCTTAAGTCCAGATACGGAGAAGATGATCGAGCAGGTGAGGAAGGCCCATCAGGAAACCTTCCCCTCGCTCTGTCAGCTGGGAAAATACACCACGGTAAGACACCAGGTCTTAAATGGATGCAGTTAATGGATAGAAATCACACTCTCAGCTACTAAACCCAGCAAACATTGATGTCTGTCAACAGAACAACAGCGCAGACCACAGGGTGGCTCTGGATGTCGACCTGTGGGACAAATTTAGCGAGCTCTCCACCAAATGCATCATTAAAACAGTGGAGTTCGCCAAGCAGTTACCCGGCTTCACCACGCTCACCATCGCAGATCAGATCACCCTGTTAAAGGCCGCCTGTCTCGACATCCTGGTGAGGGAACGACACCTGCTGTTTTCTCACACACACCAGTGCACATTTAAACCTACTCTTTGGATGGTGTATGCTTAAACTTTTGAACTTTCTTCCTCAGATCCTGCGAATATGTACACGCTACACACCCGATCAGGACACCATGACGTTTTCAGATGGTCTGACACTGAACCGCACACAGATGCACAACGCCGGCTTTGGCCCTCTCACAGATCTGGTGTTCGCTTTCGCCAACCAGCTTCTGCCTCTGGAGATGGATGATGCAGAGACTGGGCTTCTTAGCGCCATCTGTCTGCTGTGTGGAGGTACTGCAGCTTTAGACACATTTATTTTTTTAATCTTGTTTCAATTTGTCGATCTTAAACAGTGGTCTCAAACTTAAATTGGTGGAGTTGCCATTTCAGTTACTGACAATCCATAGAAAGGCCGCTTTAACATTAAAGTCCAAGAAAAAAAGTGGAAACCTGACATAACTGATGCATTTTAGGACAACAGATATGACGTTTATATTTATTTCAAACATTACCTGTCACCAGAGATGATGCAAATCAGCAAGTTTATCATGTCACACATCAGCTGCTGAAATATTTCTATGGTTGTTGTGTGTATGGCACACACACACTCAGTCATTCTTCCACAGACTATATGCAGTCAAAACTCTAGTTTTTTTTGTCTTGTTGTACATATTGAAGGGATAAAATGCTTTAAAAATACTACAACTTATAGGCATAAAAATATTATTCTGTCCCAACCAATTATATTGTCCCAATAGCGTAAGAACAGCAGAAAGCAGTTTGGGTAATCTAAACTGTTCTTTAGAAAACGAATCTTTCTTTTTTTTGTAAAACTACAACAAAGACGAGAAAAGTATGTACTTATTCACATTTACTTTAACAAGTTCAGTTCAACTAGCAGTACAATTTCACTAATGTGCATAGTTTTTATGCAAATCTTAATAAGCATATGAGGAAAATCTATTACATGAGACCATTTGAATCGACTATTAACAAAATTATCATATTTGTTACACCATCAAGCCGTGAAGAAGTGTTTGTTGAACAAAATTTGAGTGGTATAAAACTAATAATAATCAAACGACCCGTGAACATTTCCATGATAGAGCTTTAGTGAAATTATAGCACTTATAGGCATATATTTTTAACCTTTAAATCATTCACAGAATTAAAACGCATATGTAATACTCTGAATGCAGTAATAGTCTGAATGCAGTACTTCAAATGTCAACTAGGTGGCGGGTCAAAACCACAAGTGGCTAGATGCGACTGCACAACAATTATATAGGTTCAAAGTCTATGTTTTGGTGGGCCAAATCTTGTTTTATTTTTGACATCAGTTGGAGGGAGGAGGGGGGCCCTGATTTTGAAGATATTTAATCAGTAGTCACATAAGTGACTGTATTTTCTCTGTGAGTCATTTCCATCACTTTTAATACGATATTTGTTATCCTCTTACATCTATTGTGCTTTGCTTTTGTGAATATACATAACAATCTGATTTTGTGTTTGCGTATGTATATTTATCTGCTATTTATAATTATAGTTTCTAATAATGAGCTACATATGAGTAAATGGCAGAAAAACATGTTAAAGTTAGCAGTTGTGATAGGTGCCTTTATGTACAAGTTATATATTGCACATCATTTAGACAATTTTTTTCATCTCTAAGCGATAGTTCACAATACATTTGCTTGCTATTTACACTCCTCCAACGGGTTTCTTCTGTTGAACACTATGGAAGGCATTTTGAACAAAAGCTGCAAACCTGTAACCACTGACTTTTATAGTAGGAAAACCATACTATAGAAGCCAATAGTACAAGTTTCTAGCATTCTTCAAGATATCTTCTTTTGTTTTCAACAGAAGAAAGAAACTCATAAATGTTTGAAGTCAAGGGTAATTAAATGACTGATTTTTTTTTTTTTTTTTTTTAGGTGAACTTTGCCTTTAAGATTTTCTGGGGTTTTTTTTTTTTTTCGTCTCTCTCTTTGTAACTTTTTGTTGTTGTTCTCTGCTTAACATTTACATTTGATGCACCTGTGTTCAGATCGGCAGGATCTAGAGCAGTCTGATAAGGTGGATGAACTTCAGGAGCCCTTGCTGGAGGCCCTGAAGATCTACGTGAGAAATCGGAGACCTCATAAACCACACATGTTCCCTAAGATGCTGATGAAGATCACAGACCTGAGGAGCATCAGCGCTAAAGGTGAGATTCGCTGTCTGTCTTTGTACATCAAACATCAGCGACTAGAAGCCAGTCTAACGTCTTATCTTCTCAAACAGGAGCGGAGCGAGTAATAACGCTGAAAATGGAGATCCCAGGCTCCATGCCTCCGCTCATTCAGGAGATGCTGGAAAATTCAGAGGGTCTGGAGGGAGGCGGGTCGAAAGGAGCTGGAGGAGGTGGTGGTGGTGGTGGTGGAAAGGGAGCTCCACCAGGAAGCTGCAGCCCCAGTTTGTCTCCCAGTTCGGCACACAGCAGCCCCTCGGCTCACTCTCCTTGACTTTCATCTCCAGACAAACCTCCATACAGAATTAAACTGGTTCCTAACCAGAAATAAGCCACAGCCGACCAGCGCCAGAGAGCAGAATTCCGGTAGACTTTGACCCGGACTGAACAGTAAATCTGGCCAGCTTTCATTCGCTGAAGTCCAGTAGAGTTACACACAGGCCGAGCCTGATCAAAAGTCACACCGTCATTAAAACCTCCAGTGATTCAGCGACTACAAGAGCCTTTTCACGTGGCGCTGCTTCACAGAGATGACAGAACAAACGCCCTGTGTGCGCAAGCGGCTCTTTACTGTGTCTTCCCGGCTCTGCTCCCATCACGCGAACTGTGAAGGCCCAGGGAAGCTCGTCTGAAGGACGCGTTCTCTCGGCCTCAGCGTTATTTTATAAACTTCAATCCCTTAAAGCAAGCTAAAGGACTTTAGGACGTCAGCTGTCCACAAGTCAGGGACATTTTGAACTTTCCAGCTGTTTTGGTTCTGTTTCTTTGTTTTCGTACAAAAGATATATGAATATATGAAATCTATATTGACAGAAATATGAGATTTGACTCTTTTGGTCTTAGGTGGAATGCAGAACATTTCTTATCTTTTTCTCTCACTTTTTGTCTCAAGAGTTGAACATGGTTATGGTCGACCCACTGTTACCTTCACTCCAAGACAGTCCTGTTCACGTCACGCACAAGGGCACGTCGCACTGAAAATGATGTGTGCGCTTCAATCAAGATGGGGTAAAACACAGTTTTGTCCGGACGATTTGGAGATATGACACTTCATCAGAAATGAAGGATCCCCTGTAAACAAGCGGCTTGTGATTATGATGTGTGTGAGATCTCGGTTTTAACGGAGTGGCGAATGCCTTCCTGTAGCTTTTAATATTGCTTTTTTTTTTGCTTTTCATTTTGTAATTGTCACCTGTCGAAAGACACAGAGACCCCCTTCTAAACAGTATTAGCTGATTACAAAATAAAAGAGATTTCCAAAAATAACGATTCACTAAGAAAAATGTGTATTTTTAGCTAAATGCATTTCAGAAGTATTAAGAATGTTGAGCATTTCACACAGAACCATGTTTTTGTTACACGTCCGGCACCTGGATCTTGAAGCCCTGTTATTGGTCGATTCGTTTCTAATCATCCGTCACGTGTCCTGAGATGCTTCCACCGCCGCTTCCTCTTCTTCTGTACTTTACAACATCACTGCCTCTGCTCTCCTGCAACAATCATTGAACAGCAGTCAACAACAACACTGCCTCTGTGTGACAATCACTTCAAGTAAAGCTCACAAACAACTCTGCCTCTGTAACACACTGATCCCTACAGAACACTGGATTCATGAGGCCACTCACACACATACAGATCTGACACTATTACAGCTGTAGAAAAAAAAACAACAAAAAAGATAAAGGATTTAAAGGGATAGTTCACCCAAAAGCCTTCTCTTCAAGTTCAGTTTCTTTCTTTCGTTAAAAGCAAAGAAAAATCTTTTGAAGAATGTTAGTTGCTGGCACCCATTGACTTTTTCTTATTATGGGGGTCAATGGGTGCCAGCAACCAACATTCTTCAAAATATCATCTTTTGTCTTCAACAGAAGAAAGAAAGATTTAAAACCACATAACAAGAGAGTAAATAATGTTATTTTCATTTTTTGGCTGAACTGTCCCTTTTAATTCATAGTGTGATGATTATCTAGAAATTAATTATTTGTTTTTGCCAAAAATGTAAATTCCAAATCCTTTAAAAAAATAATTTAAAAATTCTATTTGTCATAAATAAATTTGTTGCAAATTTGATACAAAGTCTTAAATAAATTTGTTGCAAATTTGATACAAAGAGTGGTTTTATTCCCTAATAAAATTCATTATAATGATTTTTAACACCCCAATGTTGTTCAATCTTCAGCAAAACACAAAGGGTTTTGTGTTTGCCGAAGATTGAACAACATTAGGGTGTTTAAATAATGTGAAAAAATGGAACTTTTTGTTTTGAACTTTCCCTTTAAATTAAATTAGATTGGTCAAAATAAATAAAAATATGATTCAGGGGAAGGTGGGGACAATATAATCTATTTCTGAGGGATCAGTGTCAGCATATCATTATTGCACCAGTTCACAGCAGCTCTGCGTCTGCTGAAGCCGTCGACATGAACCTTTGAACAGAGCAGTGGACAGAAATGACTTCCTCTTGAACATGTTCTTCTGAGAGTGGAGAGTGAACTGTTTCACTGCAACTATGCACACGTCATGCACAGAGCTCAAGTCTGTTCACTTCTATCTACCTGTTGTGAAAATCACAAGCCTCTTCCAGTTGTTCAGTTCTGTCTGTTTCTTTTATTCTGCATTCAGTCGCTGCCCAAAGGTTCATCACTGTTGAGCCATACTGCACCACAGACCTCGACAGGCCTCTTCTCTCACTCACAGATGACACCACGTACAGCACAAACCCTGTACTGCTTTAACGGTTGTTATACAGTCAAACGCACAAAACTGTTTCTGTTGTGTCAGGTTCCTGGATGAGAAAAGTAATGTTTAATAAAAGCATCCGTTTTGTGTGTGTTTCTGACCATTGTGTTTTATTGTGGTTAAGCTTTCCATGAATGTTTGATATTAATAACAATTTTTGGATGTGATTCAGTTCAGCGTCATTTGTGTTCAGATATTTGATTCTGAAACGAGTTTCAGTGTGTTTCCACAGGCACTGTTTTTAGTGGATTCATGTGGAGGTTGAGTGTAATGCACTGTATCAGTGTAGTATGAATGAATTGAAAACACTCACTCACAAGTGGAAACGCACTGTAGTAGACCATAGATTGTGTTTTTCATAAACAAAGTTGCTGTACTGGTTAAAGTATCATCTCAGGCTGTCAATAATTAGTGCGTGTTAGGCTTTGTCCACACATACATGGGTATTATATGATCTGTTTTCTCTGCTTTAATTTTTAATTTTAATTTCCGTCCACATGAAAACGCAGTTTGATGCATATTAAGAGCACACCAAACCAACAGGCTTCGATAAGGACACTTTTATGCTGTTTTCACACCAAATGGGAATTAAGTATTGTCGCAAGTAAGTTGCATACAAGTTAATGTAAACGTGAGAACAGGTGGAAAACCGTCTAGCGATAGGACAATGCGGAATATGCAATACATTTGCTGTGAATGTGTGAAATTTGCATCTTCCATGTTTGACATGAACCCAACCATGTTGGCCAATAAGAAAGGAGAAAACTACGCATGTTGATGTCATGAGGTGAAAACTCCAGTTGAATTGTCCACATGACCACGCTGTATCCAGGGTTTTGGAAAACAAACTTCACCCTGGCTGTAGTTTTCAGAAAGTTTTGGTTTCAGTCAGATGCTTTTGTGTGGACAAACAGCGAAACGTAGAAAAAAGTGCAACTTTGAAAATATCTGTTTGTGTGGACAGAGCCTCAATGAGTGTACATGAATCCTACACCTTGAAAGCACCACATACATTTCAGAAAACATACATTTTTGTGCAATTTCGAGTGTGGTACACGCAGGTGAGTGGGCTTGACAAACCACCTGTTAGACACGCCCTCCTTTTTGTATAATCGAAAGAGAAAACAAAACTATCTTCATTGCATTTTTCTTCCCTCTGATGATATAAAGTGCTGTTTTTATCTTCGTTAAATAAAGTCATGCTGATTAAAAAGCATATGATGAATAATTGAAAACTTGCCAGTAAAAAGGCTAATAAATAATGTTTGTTACACCAACTGCACAAAGCAGCTTAATATAGAAGTTCTAGTAAATTGCAATTGAAACTGTCAGTCCAGTTTTCAGAGTTAAAGCTTAGTTTAGTTCAGTGTGGTTTAATTTTCACTGCTGAAAGTTCAAACACTGAGGAGCAAATCTATTGACGTGCAGCTCAAAATAACTGAGAGTAATCAGGCTTAGTTGGGTCTGACCATTTTACCATTGTTCTGAGGGCAAACCAAGCAGTAGGCCAAAAACTGCCTGAACTCCTGGGTGACATGTCAATCTGGAGAAATGACTCCACTGCATAATGTCAGAGTGTATTTTGGCTGCTGCAACACAAATTAAATTATTTCAAATAACAAAATTAACATTCTTGATGAGGCGGGTGAGTACATTTTCATTGTGGACTGAATGACAGAAATCCATACAGTAATATATACAGTTAAAGTCGGAATTATTAGCCCCCTTTGGTTATTTTTTTTCTTTTTTAAATATTTCCCAAATGATGCTTAACAGAGCAAGGAAATTTTCACAGTATGTCTGAAAATATTTTTTTCTTCTGGAGAAAATCTTATTAGTTTTTATTTTTGACTTGAATAAAAGATGTTTTAATTTTTTTATACACTGTTTTAAGGACAATATTATTAGCCCCTTTAAGCTATATATTTTTTCGGATAGTCTACAGAACAAATCATCATTATACAATACGTTGCCTAATTACCCTAACCTGCCTAGTTAACCTGATCAACCTAGTTAAGTTGTATAGAAGTGTCTTGAAAAATAACTAAAATATTATTTACTGTCATCATGGCAAAGATAAAATTAACGAATGAATTAATGGTGTTGTTTATTTCCGTGTGCAATACTGTATAAACAATACATTTCTATCTAAATTTATATTAGCAACTGTATATAGGCCTTCAGGGCACCACACCAACTTTACAAAAGAACCTTACCCAGTGGCGTAGCGCAGTGCTGCATTTGATACAATCAATCATAATATTATCCTTACTGGTCTTGATAATTCTGTTGGTATTACTGGAACTGCATTGGCCTAGTTCAGGATTTATCTGTCTGAACATAATCAATTTGTATCGGTTGATGAAGAGACATCATACAGATCAAAAGTACACTGTGGGGTACCAAAAAACTCTGTTCTTGGCCCCTTACTATTCACACCATATATGCTACTGCTAGGAGATATCATTAAAAAACATGGAGTTAGCTTCCACTGTTATGCTGATGATACACAACTTTATATCTCCTCTCAACCTGATAACTTGTATGAATTGATGAAATTAACAGATTTTATAGCTGATATAAAAAATTGGATGACTAATAACTTCTTATTACTAAATTCAGATAAAACTAAGGTCTTGCTTTTTGGACCCTAAAACTTCACATGCAAAAACTTAGAACACTGCCTAACCCTTGGTGGATTCTTAGTTCAGTCCTTATCTTCAGTCAAAAATTTGGGGGTGATTTTTGATAGCAACCTGTCATTTGAAGGCCAGATTTCAAGCAATTGTAAAACTGCATTTTTTCATCTAAAAAAAGGTTGGCAAACTTCGACATATGCTATCAATGTATGATGCGGAAAAGCTTATTCATGCTCTCATGGTCACTTAATAAGATTATTGTGATGCGTTACTAGGTGGTTGCCCTGTTGGTCTAATTAACAAACTTCAGCTGGTTCAAAATGCAGCTGCTGGCGTGCTTTCCAGAACAAAGAAATATGATCATATTTCTTCCGTTCGTTCATTATTGCATTGCTCCAAATTAAATATCATATCAATTTTAAAATTTTATTGACTACCTACAAAGCCCTGAACAGATTAACTCCCCACTATTTGAAGGAACTCCTGGTGTATTATAGCCCATCCTGTCCTCTACGCTCAATTAATTCTGGACAATTGATTTTTCGCAGAATATCAAAATTAACTGTAGACGGTAGATCTACAAAAGAGATTTCCAAAAATAACGATTCACTAAGAAAAACATGTATTTTTAGCTAAATGCATTTCAGAAGTATTGAGAATGTTGAGCATTTCACAAAGAACCATGTTTTTGTTTCACGTCCGGCACCTGGATCTTGAAGCCCTGTTATTGGTCGATTCGTTTCTAATCATCCGTCACGTGTCCTGAGATGCTTCCACCGCCGCTTCCTCTTCTTCTGTACTTTACAACATCACTGCCTCTGCTCTCCTGCAACAATCATTGAACAGCAGTCAACAACAACACTGCCTCTGTGTGACAATCACTTCAAGTAAAGCTCACAAACAACTCTGCCTCTGTAACGCACTGATCCCTACAGAACACTGGATTCATGAGGCCACTCACTCACATACAGATCTGACACTTACAGCTGTAGAAAAAAAAAAAAAAAAGATGAAACATTTAAAGGGATCGTTCAACCAAAAGTCTTCACTTGTTCAAAAAAATTTTTATTTTTATTTTTTTTGAAAGCAAGGGAAGATATTATGGAATAACTTCTATCTATTATGGAGGTCAATACCAACAGCAACCAACATTCTTCAAAATATCTTCCTTTGCTTTCAACAAAAGAAAGAAACTCATAAAGATTTAAAACCACATCATGTAATTTTCATTTTTGGCTGAACTATCTCTTTAATTCATAGTTTGATGATTATCTAGAAATTAATTAAGT